GTGCGCAAGGCTCAGAGGCAGAAGCGCTCGCAGGGCTCCTCGCAGTTCCGCAGCCAGAGCAGCCAGGTGGAGCTCTCGCCGCTGCCCCAGCTCAAAGGTACCCGTCTGTCGGCCTTCCCCCTCCCCTCCCGCACACCCCAGCCCTCCGGCTACAGGTGCCGATGCCCTCGGTTGCCCGGGGCTGCCTCTTCTGACACCGCTTGCATGCCCCGCGCTGCCCTGTCGCCGCCTGTCCTGGCTTGTCCCCTTCCCCCGCACCCTCTGCCCTTTAGCCGTGTCCTCCTGCGCTCCCGGTGCTTTCCAGGTGGGGACCCTGCGGGAGTCATGGTGTGTGCCGATGGGCTCGCTTGCTCTGCTCGTATAAACAAGGGGCATACAGGTCGGTTCTCTTTTATGGCCCGGGGACTGCTTCCACGAACTCGCCACTCGTTTTCTGGGTTATTTAGGAGTAAGTGTTGGGAGGGCAGGCGTGCTTTTTGGGGGTTTACTGGGGAAAATGTAGACGGTAAGTTGAGTTTAGGAGCGCAGGGAATTGAGCACTAAAACGTAAGAGCGAGTGGTGGCTCCTCCCACGGGGGATTTTGCAAAGAGGAACTCTTGTGCTTGTGGCATAATATCCTGAGTTACCGGAGAGAGTTTGCGTTTGGCGTAGTGGTTCCTTCCCATCACTTTTGGACAACGTTTGACGTTTTGCCTGCTTTATTTTAGTGATCAGGAGTTGCCTCGGAGACTTTCTCCTGCAGAGTGCTGTATGAAGGCGCTCACAAGTGAATGAAAATTGTAGATGCTGGCATTGCTGACTTTAGAAGAGATAGTGAAGGTTTTATCCTCTGTACTGGAGCTAAAATCTGAAAAGACTCGGTTTGTTAGATTGCGAAAATGAAAGTTAATTGTGACCTGCCACACCTTTGAGGGTTGAAATAAATTTGTGTATATTTCTTTTTAAAAAATCATAAAATGGTTATTAGATAGAGAATATAAACTTGATATTATAGTATCTGACAGGCACCTGAAAAATGAGAGATTACTGTAACATGACCCAGCATATTAAGTTTACTTCCAGTAGCGTTACAGTCTTAAGATTTTTGAAGCTGCATTGTTATAATAGTGGAAAAAACCTCTGTGATTTGCAGCAAATATCCAAAATCTGAATGGAATACAGCAAACTTAAAATTATTCCTAGATACTGTTTTCTGTTTGATTTTATGGCTTTTACAGTCATGTCTGTAGTATTTCAAGACTTTTCTTTTTCCTACTCTTGAGTGGCAGATGTACGTGAACCATAAACCTGGTAGAAATGTTATTAAATGCAAATAAGCTTGAGCGGCAGAGTAGCTAGAGTTTGTTTGGGGGTTTTTTAAGCATGTTTGTTGCAGTGGCTTTGGGTGTTACTGTTAACAACGGCAGGAGTGTTCCTGTTGCTTGTTTTGTGCTTTCTTTTCTCTGTGAAGTTGCATCCTGTCTTGGTACACTAGTTTGATTTGAGGGATTTATAACCGGAATAATTTGTTTGAAATCAAGATTTAGTTTATGCCATTTACATGCTGTTTAGACAGTATATTTTCCTCAGATCGTTTTTACAAAACCACACTTGAGACCTTGTAAAAGCACTTGGTAAATATCGCACATAGGTGGCAGACTTCAGAAAGTTTGGGTGCTGATCCAGCAACAGTTAAACATACATACTTCATGCAGGGACTATTTCCAGCTTATATCAGCAAAATGTCCAAGTTTACCTTCTTTGCTGAGAGGGGACTTTAATATTAAAGTTTTAACTCTATGATTAAATCTTACAGTTTTGTGAGTGTGATTTTTACAGATTTTTACTTACAACACAGAGAAACTTTGCACGGCATCAGCAGCTCACATGTTTGAAGATTTGAGGCCATAAACTGTCAGAGGAATTTCTTCAGTTATGCAGAGTTTTATAGTAGTTTGAATTGCCTTAAATTCTTAAAGGAAAATCACGTCTATCTTTATGGTTATGATTAAATTTAAAGAGTTGCCTGC